GAAGGAAGGAAGGAAGGAAGGAAGGAAGGAAGGAAGGAAGGAAGGAAAATGCCACCTTTAAGGGAAGAAAATTCTATTCCAGTTTAGCTAGAGAGAATAATTTGGAGCCCAGAACTAATAAATAACAATTCTTCTGTAGATGCCAGAGGGCAGGGATGAATGAGTAATCGTGGTGTACTTGCCATCTTTCATGAAAGTTTCTGCAGTATTAAAAAAATCAGATTGCTGCTAATATAAAAATGATTGAATGAAAGCAATGTGTAACTTTCCCTCTTTTCGAGACAGAAAATCTGTAAAGGATGCTTCTTCTTCGAATACCCTTAGATTCAAGCTCTGAATCTACAGCACTGATTTTGTAATTGATGGGGCAGGATAATGACTTGCACCATTTACCCTTCACGAGCTCGAAGTAATTATGCCACTTCTGATTAGCAGTGATCCTTAAATATATACATATATTGCTATTAAAAATTAAAATCTCAGCAGGAACAAATGGCTTATCATAACGGCAAGTACCATAAGATATTGCTTGGGTTTATAAATGTATGATGGAAACTCCGGATGGCTCTTTAATTCAAGGAGAAGTAAATGCATAAAATGAAATGAGCAATGTCAGATTCATAAAAATATTCCACTTTCTTCTAATGCCTGTTTGGATGATGGCGTTTTTCACCTTGTGTTACAGACTCCCACTATATCTCATAGAGAAATCTTGCCAACACAGTTACCTTGAGATGATATTTTTGTAGTTGTAGAAGTTGCTTACACAGAACATCATTAAGCTGCAGCTAAATGTCTATGGAGATTCTCAAGTTATCCAGGTTCTGGTTGTCCCAAAGGTGCTTTTTACAAGAGGCAACTGGACTTTCTGGTTTTTTCTTTGAAGACGTTTCCCTTCTCATCCAAGAAGCTCCTTCAGTTCTGACTGGATGGTGGGGAAGGGAAGGACTGATACTCCTTGCAAACAGCTGGTCATTTACAGTCTTTGAGAGAGTTGTTGAGATCAACAGTTCCAAGAAGGCTCCACAGCCATTTGCATCACTCAGGTGAACCTGATGACCCAGATAATCCTCCGAGTAGCCTCAACGTCTCTCCAAAAGGATGCAAATGACCAGCTGTCCACAAGGAGTATATATCTTTCCATTCCCCACCCTCTAGTCAGAACTGAAGAAGTTCTTGGATGAGAAGCAAAACGTCTTCAAAGGAAAAAACAAAACAGAAAATCCAGCTGTTTTAAAAAAGCATCTTTGAGATTAAGTTGCAGCCTTTCTTCCCAGAATGTTTTGCAATTCTACTCTCAATCAAAGTTTCCCTCCCATGGACAGCTTCCAGATATGCTGAGCTTCCATTCCCCAAATTCTCAACCATGGTCCTAGCAGATTTCAGCTTTGGAAGCCATGTTGAACCCAGATGCTCCCAAGCTGCCACGTATTGAGCCTGGGAAAGTGGGAGGGTAGAAATTCTTGGGGTATGTGTAGTTAGATGAAATAACATTATTTTTTGTAGCTCAAGGTCATGCTATTGTGTGTATATGTAAGCAGAAGTCTTCAGTTGGGATGGATGATGATTGGGGCATGTAATGCGATGATGGGTGTAGGGGGTTGGATTTGTAGTTTTGATTATTGCAAGGAAGCCCAGAATTTTCAAATTCAGGATTCCCCCAGTTGTGTCAATTACTATCCCAATAAAAGAGAACTTTTAAGTGATGTCTGTGTCGGAGTTATTGGTTGGAATGAAGGTTTGCTGCAACGCTGACACCAGAGTTGGTTCATCCAACTGGCAGAAGCAGTGGCAAATATAATTGGAGGTAGGGATTTTGTCACTCCCAGAAGATAGAATTTTTCAGGTACAAAAATAAATAAAGAAATTAAAAAGAAATTAAAAGAGAGAGGCATGGGGTGGTTCAGTGATTAAGATGCTTGCCTTCTCAGCTAGAAAGCTGTCGGTCCAGATTCGAGACCCAAGCACTATGCAATGGAGTAAGCTCCTATTCTTTGCCCCTGCTCCTGCCAACCTAGCAGTTTGAAAGCATGCAAATGTGAGTAGGTAAATAGGTACCACTTCAGTGAGAAGGTCACAGCACTCCTTGATGTTGTGCTGGCCACATGACCATGGAAATGTCTTTGGACAGTGCTGGCTCAATGAAATGGAGATGAGTTTCAACCCTTAACTAGCAGAATAAAATCTGCAGGGATTCCTTTACCTTCTTTTACTGAGTTACTCAATTCACAGGTAGTCTCTGGATTAACCAGAAGTGTCATCAATCCCGGAGGCTAACATATTTAGTCAATAGAACGTTGCCTACCTAATGAATTTCCAGCCTCATCTTCCAACTCAAGAGTCTCAAAAATCTAAAATCAACATTTGATTCCTGCATAATGCAGTTTAAGGGGGGAATTTATTTCCCAGAGCTGGTATTCAGCAGGTTCTGACCAGTTCTGGAGAACTGGTAGCAGAAATTTTGAGTAGTTCAGAGAACTGGTCAATACCACCTCTGAGTGGCCCCGCCAACCCCATCTATTCTCTGCCTCCCACCGAGCCCCAGCTGATCGGCTGGGTCTTCTTTGGTTGCCCTGCACAGGAGAACGGAGCCGGAAATCAGGTTAGTGGGGTGGGGAGGAAATGGGGATTTTGCAGTATCCTTCCCCTGCCACATCCACCAAGCCACACCCACCCATCCACACCACGCCCACCAAGCCACACCCACAGAACCGGTAGTAAAATAATTTGAATCCCACCACTGTTCTTTCCCCTTCTATGTTTCTTTTAGAAATCTTCTTTCTTTTAGATACCCCACAAAAGCAGAAAAATTGGGAGCATGCATTAAATTCCGGTTAAGCTGATTAATTGCTCACACCTATACACAAGAATCTCACACTAAATTGGTGCTAAATAAGAATCAACAGAATTCAAGTGGGGTTGCACTTTGGCTGCTTATGGGAACTTAAGGACTCTAGGCTGATTCCTCTCTTGACACCACCACTAGACTCTGCCTCTCCTTCTCCTACAATCCCCAAACCATGTAGCTTTCTTTCCTTCACTTAGAGATATTTACTTGAGTTAATTCACTCCACGGAGGAGCATTTATGCATTCACTAAGGCAGTGTCGAGCTATTTTGGTTAGCTGTTTTTGTGATGAATCCCTAAAGAAGTATTAATGGAGTTGACACGTCCTTGTGTTTATTGAACTTTTTATGGGGGCACAGATTGCTCTGTTATCAAAGGCTGCAAGTGAAGCATCAACAGATGGGAGTAGGTCTACTATTAATTATATTGACAGGTTTGCACCAGTCCCTGTTGTAGTAATTAAGGGCATGCTGTCAATATGAGACTGCTGGAAAGTTTTCTTTTTCAAGGGTTGAGGAATTTACTTGAAACTCTAGTAGACTTCAAAACAACAACAACAATATATCGATCAGTTCTAAAACTACAGAACCTCATGTTGTAAGTAAACACATTGAATATCAAAGAAAGGACATTAACGGGCTAACAATTTCCACTAGAACAAGATTAACCATTTTAGGAGAACGCTCAAGGTAAAGTTCAGCTCCGGATAGAAAGTCCCACATGTTATATACCAATGTGTCTATATGTCATTTGGTCCATTTGTATTACTTATTTTGCACCTGGTGAGAAATCTGATGGAAAACCAACCCACCATGTTGATTTGGACCTACATAAATGAATGATGGTGAAGTATAGTTGTATAATTTTTAATTCTTCTCTATCCCACCTCATATTTGAGGGCAATTTCAAAAGCTAGATCGAATCATACACAGCCCATATTTAGAGGGGAAATCCACTAGGAACTTTTAGGATTCCTGGTCCATTCCAGACAACAGAGATGGCCAATTTCTTCTACATTGTAGGCAAGAAAACTATGCAGACATGATCAAATGATCATCAAGAGCCAAAGTCTATGGAACTTCTCAGTCTTCCAAGGTCATGGTTGTCCTAAAGGTGCTTTTGCACTTTCTTTGTTTTTCCTTGAAGATATTTCACTTCTCATCCAAGAAGCTTCTTTGGTTTTTTTCAGCAGAGCTTCTTGGATGAGAAGAAAACGGCTTCACAGAGAAACAAAGGAAATCCGGTTTTGAAAAAAAACACTTTTGGGACACCAAGAGCCAACCTTGAACCGAGGAAGACTTTTACAGCAGAATATTAAAGTGAAATGCAAAGAGCAAGGCAACTCATTCATCCCATCAGAATCATATTCCTCCTTCTCTAAACACCAAGCTCTCATCCATTATTTTGGAGCAAGGCTTGGGGTTAAGGTTTCAACTCAAACAAAAGGATGTAATGGATTTTTCTTCCACTTATGCTTTAGGTAGGATTAGAAATCAACGCGGCGTATCAACCTATCAAAACTGTTTAATGGACTTTTTATTAGAATGTCTATTAAAAAAAAGAAAACTGCATTCCTTTTCATCAACAAGCAGCACACTGTTATGCCTAACTTTCTATATAATGTAAACTTTGTCCATAAAATGCTAGCTGATATTCCCAAGCCGTCTTCTTTTAACATGCATTTCCATAATATTCCTTTTTCATGCATGTCTCAAAAGACAAACACAGTACATTTATCAACTGCCAATAGAATAGAATGAATGAGCTGGGAGGGACCTTGGACGTCTTCTAGTCCAGCCCCCTGCTCAAGCAGGAGAATTTATACAATTTCAGATAAATGACTGTTTAGATTCTTCTTAAAAATCTCCAGCGATGAAGTGCCCACAATTTCTGGTGGGAAGCTGTTCCACTGGTTAATTGTCCTCCCTGTTGAGAAGTTTCTCCTTCATTCCAGGTTGCTTCTCTCCTTGATTAGTTTCCACCCATTGTTTCTTGTCCTGCCTTCAGGTGCTTTGGAGAATAATTTGACCCCCTCTTCCTTGTGGTAGTCCCTCAAATACTGGAATACTGCTATCATGTCACCCCTAATTCTTCTTTTCTTTAGACTAGCCAGGTCCAAATCCTGCAGTTGTTCTTCATGTTTTAGACTCCAGGCCTTTGGTCATCTTAGTTGCTCTTCTCTGAACTTTTTCCAAAGTCTCAATGTCTTTTTTTTGTAGTATGGTGACCAAAATTGGTTGCAGTATTCCAGGTGTGGCCTTGCTAGGGTTTTATGCTTCCGTTTATACAACTCTACACCTATAGCTATAAAATGATGTTAAAATGTTTTTTTTTTCCTTTATGAGTAGTTTGATAATATTGCATCTGCTTTCCCGGGAATGCATTTAGAAGCATCGTGACCAAGGTAGAGGGCCAAAGGTCCATAGCTCTGTCAAACTATTTCTCACTTTTAGTAACGTAATCATATCCTGTTCTAAACACTCAGTGCTCTGTGCATTAAAAATCAATTACCAGGTGACAAAAAAACATTACAAGCCAGGCCATTAAAAAAAGGAGAAAAAAAAATCAATGATACATACAGTATTAGTTTAGAAAGCCTACAAAGATGAGGAGGTCAACCTTTTCTCCAAAGCACCAAAACATAAGACAAGAAAAAATGGATGGAAAGTAACCAAAGAAAGAAGCAACCGAGAACTAAATTTCCCAACCATTACAACAATTAACCAGTAGAATGGTTTGCCTTCAGAAGCTGTGGGTGCACCATCCCTGAAGATCCAGATCATGGTTCTTCCCAAAAGGTGTTTTTTCCCCCCCAGCTTCTTCTTCTTCTTCTTCTTCTTCTTCTTCTTCTTCTTCTTCTTCT